GTGTGTGTGTGTGTGTGTGTTTGTACCGTCCAGTCTACATAGTATGGCCCGCCCCACACTGTGCCACCCGCTTCAATGGTACCATCCAACCCACATAGCATCACGCAGGCCATATAAAACCGCCCAGCCCACATAGAACCATAGTTCTGCCAAGGGTGGAGTTGTGCCTAAGTGCGTGCTCTTTTTTTGTGGCTGTGTGTGTGTGTGTGTGTGTGTACCGTGGAGTCCACATAGTATGACCCACCCTGCATGGCATGGTGCCGCCAGTCCAGATGATACTGCCCAGCCCATAGAGTGACACGTACGCCACATGATACCACGCAGCCCACACGGTACCCTCTGGCCATGCCAAGGGCCAAGTTGTGCCTAACTTTGGCCATGTTTGTTTTTTTTGTTCTTTTGTGACTTGGACATGAGTTAGTCCACGCACATGTGGAATGTTGAACAGAGAGAGCCCCATGGTCTGAAATCAGGAGGTGAAGTTCGTTTCTTTTTTGGTTTTCTGTTGTTGTTTTTTCTTTCGCTTGGCCGCATAGATAGATGGTAGAGGAGGGCGGTTAGGAGGATGCAGCACGAGTTGGACGAGGAGAAGGACATGGCGAAGGAGGGATCGGAGGAGAATGCAGCAGAGGACGAGGTGGCCGAGGAGGAAGGGGATGCAGGAGCAGGATGGAGGGGTGGTGGCAGAGAACAGGGGAGGTGGCTGGGGAGGAGGGGGATGCAGGAGCAGGGCAGAGAGGAGATGGCGGAGAACGGGGAAGAGAAGGTGGCGGTGGAGGAATGATGGGGAGACGGAGCACAGGTGGCCCCATGACGGGCATATTTTGTGAAAGGTAAGATATCGAACAGGGGAGGTGGGTGAGGAGGAGGCGGATGCAGGAGCAGGACAGAGCACAGGTGTCCCCGTGACGGGCATGTGCTTGTGAAAGGTAAGATATCAATTGTCTTTTTTACCACTCAGCCACTCTCCCGAAGAATTCAGCATCCTACAGGATTTGAACCTGCGACCTTCAAACTTAGAAGGTTGTGGCTCTATCCAGCTGGGCTAAGGATGCGACTCACCCAAAAGAGTCAGTGCAGCCGCCACAACAAAACAAGCAGCTTAATTTGTTTATCTATGCGCTCTGATTCGGATTCGCCATTACTATATCAGCATCACTAGGGTAATGACATAGCCAACAAGGTGAGATGTTTGCTGCCAAGATTTTTCATAAGTCTTGCTGAAACCGTTGTGATGGGATCTTTTTTTTGCCTATTGTTATTTGCTGCTAGTTTTTGGGAATGTTCTTACTGTATCCAACAGGGTGTAGAGAGCTCCTCTTCCACATTGTTTCTTCCTATGCTCTTACCCTAAACCCTAAACCCACACTTTTCGGCTTGTTCCACTTCTCGATCACACACCATCTTCTTTTGATGTGGGCGGAGCTTCACTTGCGCTTCTCGAATGAGAATGTGCAGAAGAGGATAGAGAACAAAAAGAACTTAGACCGAAACATATGATCTTGTAGCTATCCTGTCAAATTGATCGTGGGTCTTACAATAGATTACAAAAAAAAAAAAAAAAAAAAAAAACCATATGTCTTAGCGATGGTGATTAGCTCGACCTCCATCTGTGAATTGACATGTAAGCCAGCTGCTTCGCTCAAGTACGATCGAGGGACTACTATTTGGTGGGCGAACATAAAACCTTTTTTGCAACCTAAA